TAAGAACCACTGAGCTAGGGAAGACAGCAACAAAAATCTTAGGACCTTAGCTCTTTTATACTTCGCCACCTGACTTTAGTAAGTTAAGAAGGGACTCTTCTCCCTCAAACAAGCAGATTCTAGGAATGTATTTAATGGACACTCTGCATATCTGAAAAGGCAAATGGTTATCTGTGGTTATCAGCTGGTGCAGAGTGTGCAGATCTGCTCTGAAGAAGCAACTGAGCGGGCTGCATATGATGCTTTATGTTTGCCTTGGACAGGCAGAATGCCTCAGAGCATCACCAGTTGGCTGCTGCAGGTCTGCAGCTCTCCCCACATTATTCCTCAAAGAGGCAAGAACATGATTTTGCCCATAGTGTATTATCAAATAGCTTTATGTGCAGTACTATTTATTAAGCCTACAATCCACATGGAAAATAGATATGTGTTACATGCTGCCTTTTAGCATTTTCTGTTTCTGAAGTAGCATTTTTATTCTTAGTAATTACTGAGTTACAGATTTTGTAATGAATTTTGGAATTTAAAAAATATTTGGGCTTCTAAAATGTTCTTTATTTCAGGCCCCTGCAATACAGGGTAGGGTAGGAGGCCCCTGAAGATTTTCTGTAGTTCTCATGGGGCAGGCTGCCTCTCTTATCTTGTCACTGGACACTGTTGATGAGTTGGCAGAGTCAAAAAAAAAAAAAAAAAAAAGGAGCGAGATGGTTACAACAGCATAGGAGGTCAATTATGGGTCAAACTTTAAATGTACAGGCTACTTAACCCACACAGAAAAATAATATACTTCCTCTACTCTCTGTCTAGATACTTATTTGGCCCTTATCAGGATATCGGAGATCCTCCTGTGTATGGCATATAGTTTTTATTAATAAGTATTATTATTAAATAATGCAGTTCAGTAACATTGTCTAACAGCCAGAAAGAGAGGCAACATTTTCCAAGTACAGAAAAAAGCCTGTCCTCAGGCTCTGACAAATAGAAAATCCAGTATAACTTTGACTAAATATTTACATCTACCTCTGCCCTTGGTCACGGTAGGAGAAAAAATTATTTGGTTATTATTTCACTATTTTATGTATATTATTTTGTTGAACTATTCTTTGCTCCAGCTTTGTGTGTGTTTATTATTATTTATATTATGGTAGCACCTTGAAGACCTGACCAGGGCCCCATTATGCTCGTCGTAGTACGAAAAATATCACAAAGAAAGTTGCAGCCTCACAGTGCTCACAATCAAGGATTATAAGATGCAATGGGTTTACTTTTTAAATAAGTGTTAAAATAATTAAAATCCTTTCCATATGAAAAATTAAACTTAGTTATAATGCAATTAACAAAACAAGACAAGAAGTCATGGCAAATGGAGATCGTGGATTTAATGAATTCCTAAGCAGCATTAGTCAATGTTCATTTTATTTATTTTCTGTTATAGCACCCCAACAAAGCACTTGTAATTCAGAATTACATATATTTAATAGTATATATTAACAACATTAATAGATACTGTTATGGGCCTATTGATAAACACTATCATTGGCCTGATCCAGCGTTCCTTGCACGCTTAGAGCCACCACTGAGCTCACTGGATGTTTTGGGTATGCGAGGAATGCCAGATCAGACTTGATATGGGGTTTACAAAAGAACGGCTGGAAAAAAAAAACTGATGAATTTCAGGAAAAACCAATATGCAGAATTTTGTGCAAAAGGTAATGAAAAACTGAAAATGGGTAAAGATCTGCAAAAGTAAATGTTCTTTCTAAAGCAATTAGTTTTCGGTGTAGACAGATGAGCAGGGGTTAAGGGGGCACAAAAAAAACCCATTGCATTATTGTTCACTATTTCATGCAGTAAGAAAAATAAATGAAAAGAGTAAGATGAAAGTCAGCAACAGAACCCAAAGGAACACTGTCAGTGTGAGCCATAGGTATAAAAAAAAATAGAAAAGTGATCAAATATATTCACAAAGGTAGAAAGAAGAGACTGAAATCTAGCAAAGACTTATGGAAAAGTCTTTTTGAATTCTCCCACCATGAAATTTGCAGGTTCTTCTGCACAGAAGTTCCTACCATGTTTTAATAGACAGCATTGAATAATAGCAGCTTTTAAGATGGCGAGCCACAGCAGTCTGAAGACAGAATTGAACTCATATGGTTAGTTCACATGATTTTAAGAAGACAAGTAAAGGAAAGGTTCTCCCTTAAAGGGCCACTCAAATGAAAACATCTCATAAAATGGGCAGCATTCTATTGGGTAAGAGTAATGGCTGTTACACCCAATGGTAACAGAGTTACAAAATAAGAAATAGAATCATAGAATATCAGGGTTGGAAGGGACCCCTGAAGGTCATCTAGTCCAACCCCCTGCTCGAAGCAGGACCAATTCCCAGTTAAATCATCCCAGCCAGGGCTTTGTCAAGCCTGACCTTAAAAACCTCCAAGGAAGGAGATTCTACCACCTCCCTAGGTAATGCATTCCAGGGTTTCACCACCCTCTTAGTGAAAAAGTTTTTCCTAATATCCAGTCTGAACCTCCCCCACTGCAACTTGAGACCATTACTCCTCGTTCTGTCATCTGCTACCATTGAGAACAGTCTAGAGCCATCCTCTTTGGAACCCCCTTTCAGGTAGTTGAAAGCAGCTATCAAATCCCCCCTCATTCTTCTCTTCTGCAGGCTAAACAATCCCAGCTCCCTCAGCCTCTCCTCATAAGACATGTGTTCCAGACCCCTAATCATTTTTGTTGCCCTTCGCTGGACTCTCTCCAATTTATCCACATCCTTCTTGTAGTGTGGGGCCCAGAACTGGACACAGTACTCCAGATGAGGCCTCACCAATGTCGAATAGAGGGGAACGATCACGTCCCTCGATCTGCTCGCTATGCCCCTACTTATACATCCCAAAATGCCATTGGCCTTCTTGGCAACAAGGGCACACTGCTGACTCATATCCAGCTTCTCGTCCACTGTCACCCCTAGGTCCTTTTCCGCAGAACTGCTGCCTAGCCATTCGGTCCCGAACAAGAACAAAAAAGTTGGGGCTCTTCTACCCTGTCTTTTAAACGTAGAAACGAACAGTAATACGATCCATATACCAGAATTAGCTAAAAGCGTGGCCCAGGGGCCAAATAAAACTCCCATTGTTATATGTCTCTCATAATTGACCTCAGGTTTAATATGGAGGCATGGCACACAGAATCTGCTGGTCTCAGCATGAAATGCTCCATCTTGATCCAAGAAGACCAGCATGCATGTTGGGACATGCAGCTTCCTACATTAAGGCTGCTATCAGTTCTACCTCATATAAATTAGGTCCAGACTTGGGACTCCTTGAAAGTTGTCAGTGTGGACCTCATCTAAGCCAAGTATGGACACTTTGTAAACTCTTTCAAACTTGGGTGCCTACATCTGCACTTAAGCACCAAAATAAGTGGCCTGATTTTAAGAGGTCACAAGAGTAATGGGAATTGTTGGTGATCAGCACCACTGAAAAATAGAAAATTCATTTAGATGCTTTCATATGGATTTAGGCTCCCAACTTTAAAAGGATTGACCTTTGTTGGTTTGTTTTTTTTGTTTCAACTCACAAGCAATCTGAGCCAAAGAAAGAAACTAACAATGAGCTCTGTGGTTAACAGCATACCTGCCTCTGCCTTGGACTCATAAATTATGATGATTTTATTGGGAAAACCCTCTCATTCTAAATTCTGTTTATTAAATAGCTACTAATACCATCAAAATTACCATTAGCAGTGATATTAGCGTTCAGCACAGCACAAAAGCCTACAAGAACAACAAATTACTGCACAGCACTACACATTCTTTTGCACGAACACCATGGTAATGCCTAGGACTAGTTGTAAGTTCATTGGTTGCTTAAGAGAAGATGGAATTTTCTTCCCCCACACAACACATCTATGTTGCCCCCAAACTGTCTTCAAATCCCCTCATTGGCTATAGAAGTGCAACATAGGAGCTGCCACAGAAACTACTGTGAAAACGTGCTGGCTTCTCTCTCTATTACTGTTGTTTGTTATTTTTAAGAGATTAAAAGTGTACTAGGTGCCTCACAAAACAGGAAATAGGCTCTCACCCTGAAGACCTTACAGTCTGAATTCAACAATGAGGGTTATCAACAGACACAAAAGGAGGAGGAAGGGAAGAGGAAAGATAAGGATAACCCGAAGATCACACCCTTACTCAGTAAGACATTTACACATCTCGGCCTCAATTCTGCAGACACTGAGAGCCTGCTTTTCAAAACTACTGAGCACCAAGAGCTCCTGCTCACTGATGTAGAATTGCAGGTGCTCAGCCCTTTTTAAAGAGAGGCCCTTAAGTATTCCGGAAAAAATCACATTGATTTTGCTATGTCAGGATCAGGGGCCACAGTTGATTCCCTTACGACAGCTGGTTTTGCACTTATTTTCCTTCCCCCTTGCATTTCAATGTATTATAATTATTCATTTCAGAATCAGAAAAAGAGGGATTTAAGAACAGGTTTGAGGAGACGTTCCAGACACAGTGGGAAGCATGGAAGAAGGAACAAAAGCAGGAATGGGAAAGATATGGAAAATTTCCCTGGGCAGGATACCCACTGACTCCCCCAGAATAACTTTGTTTCCCTGACCGGTATCTGTAAATGACAATTCAAATTTACGACTCCTGTAAATCTTAATGGTAGCTGCCCATCTAAAATGCAACACATTAATATTCACCCCTGTAAAGTACAATTTCTCCCTGCAATCACCAAGGCCATCTTCTGTTTCAGAGAGTAATTATAAGTGAAATGGCTCTTATGCTTCCGTGCATAAGCCACCCTCTAACAGAGATGATTAGAAAGAAACTTCCCTCTATGTGCAGGTTATTTCATAACTGCCTACGGGAGGATTTCTTGCAGTTTCCTCTGAATGTATCCATAAATTAAGTGGAAACAAATGGACACAATTCATCTCAGCAAGTCCTACTCCTGTTCCATTATGAATGAAAGGATATTATCTACCTTCTGAAGAAGACGGTTTAGATTTGTTCTTGTGCTTTGACGAATTATCACAAGGGTGAAAAATCAGCTGTTGTAAGACAGCTGGACATATTGCGGAGAAGCTGGAATTTGTTATCTGGCTGTTGTTCGGCAATCCATGAAGTGAAAAGATGTCCTCAGCAGACATGCACTGAAAAAAAAAAAATAAAGATTATTAAGCTGACATGAAATTAAGGGGTGACAGATGAGAGAAATAACTGCTACACTAAAAACACTAGTGTTATGCAGTGAAAATACAGGGCAGGATTTTCCAAGTAGCATACTTTGCACATTCCGAATTTGTGCATGAAAACACCATGATTGAAAATCCCTCCCAGAATTCATTGGCCAAGTCACCGAAGTGATTTGGGAACATAATTCACATTATAAATCAATGGAACTTATTTCTAATTAACTTAGGTGCTTTTGAAAATCTTGACTTCTGTGTATTTATGACCAGTTAGCTCATAGCTTAAAATAACATTGAAAACACTGGCTCACAGTATATAAAACTAGTCTAACAACTAAATAATTGAATCTAAAAATATTTAGGATACCATTAAAATCTCAATGACAAAATATCAACAAATGATAGTTACTGCAGCAACTGTTACTCACGTAAATAAATATTTCAACCACATGCTGTTTTATTGAATCATAGAATCATAGACGATCAGGGTTGGAAGGGACCTCAGGAGGTCATCTAGTCCAACCCCCTGCTCAAAGCAGGACCAGTCCCCAACTAAATCATCCCGGCCAGCGCTTTGTCAAGCCGGACCTTAAAAACTTCTAAGGAAGGAGATTCCACCACCTCCCTAGGTAACACTGAGCCTGACAATCTAGCCAACTTTCTATCCAACTTATAGTCCATTCATCCAGCCCATACTTCTTTAACTTGCTGGCAAGAATCCTGTGGGAGACCATGTCAAAAGCTTTGCTAAAGTCAAGGAATAACACGTCCACTGCTATCCCCTCATCCACAGAGCCAGTTATCTCATCGTAGAAGGCAATTAGATTAGTCAGGCATGACTTGCCCTTGGTGAATCCATGCTGACTGTTCCTGATCACTTTCCTCTCCTCTAAGTGCTTCAGAATTGATTCCTTGAGGACCTGCTCCATGATTTTTCCAGGGATTGAGGTGAGGCTGACTGGCCTGTAGTTCCCAGGATCCTCCTTCTTCCCTTTTTTAAAGATGGGCACTACATTAGCCTTTTTCCAGTCGTCCAGGACTTCCCCCAATCGCCATGAGTTTTCAGAGATAATGGCCAATGGCTCTGCAATCACATCCACCAACTCCTTTAGCACTCTCGGATGCAGCGCATCCGGCCCCATGGACTTGTGCTCGTCCAGCTTTTCTAAATAGTCCCGAACCACTTCTTTCTTCACACAGGGCTGGTCACCTCCTCCCCATGCTGTGCTGCCCAGTGCAGTAGTCTGGGAGCTGACCTTGTTCGTGAAGACAGAGGCAAAAAAAGCATTGAGTACATTAGCTTTTTCCACATCCTCTGTCACTAGGTTGCCTCCCTCATTCAGTAAGGGGCCCACACTTCCCTTGACTTTCTTCTTGTTGCTAACATACCTGAAGAAACCTTTCTTATTACTCTTAACATCTCTTGCTAGCTACAACTACAGGTGTGATTTGGCCTTCCTGATTTCACTCCTGCATGCCTGAGCAATATTTTTATACTCTTCCCTGGTCATTTGTCCAATCTTCCACTTCTTGTAAGCTTCTTTTTTGTGTTTAAGCTTTGCAAGGATTTCACTGTGAAGCCAAGCTGGTCGCCTGCCATATTTACTATTCTTTCTACACATCGGGATGGTTTGTCCCTGTAACCTCAATAAGGATTCTTTAAAATACAGCCAGCTCTCCTGGACTCCTTTCCCCCTCATGTTATTCTCCCAGGGAATCCTGCCCATCAGTTCCCTGAGGGAGTCAAAGTCTGCTTTTCTGAAGTCCAGGGTCCGTATTCTGCCGCTCTCCTTTCTTCCCTGTGTCAGGATCCTGAACTCGACCATCTCATGGTCACTGCCTCCCAGGTTCCCATCCACTTTTGCTTCCCCTACTAATTCTTCCCGGTTTGTGAGCAGCAGGTCAAGAAGAGCTCTGCCCCTAGTTGGTTCCTCCAGCACTTGCACCAGGAAATTGTCCCCTACACTTTCCAAAAACTTCCTGGATTGTCTGTGCACCGCTGTATTGCTCTCCCAGCAGATATCAGGGTGATTGAAGTCTCCCATGAGAACCAGGGCCTGCGATCTAGTAACTTCCGTGAGTTGCCGGAAGAAAGCCTCGTCCACCTCAACCTCCTGGTCTGGTGGTCTATAGCAGACTCGCACCACGACGTCACCCTTGTTGCTCACACTTCTAAACTTAATCCAGAGACTCTCAGGTTTTTCTGCAGTTTCATACTTGAGCTCTGAGCAGTCATACTGCTCCCTTACATACAATGCAACTCCCCCACCTTTTCTGCCCTGCCTGTCCTTCCTGAACAGGTTATTGGTCTCAATAAACTTGAATTAGACTGTCCTAAGTGGTCCTACAGTATGTTGTATCCAATGGTTTTTATCCATTTCATATCATTGACTGTTACAGAACAAATCAGAATACATTTACTTTAAAAAAAAAATTCCATTAAGACAAGTACCTCTTTAGCCTCTTAGCTTAGGACAAGCCAGTAGCTCCTGTGCTAGTAAGCATATATTTTACTTTAGTATGTCAAGCCAGGAATTCTTTTCAACGTACAGCTAATAGACAGAAATCTTGATTTAAGTTGCACAGATGTGTAATGAATTGTTTGACAGTACACAAATAATTTATCATTTCTTTTTATTCACACATTTTTCTATCATGACCAATACCTGAAGGAGTTCTTCACTTGAGTATACAGATGAAACAAAAAGTTTTCACATACCAACGACGAGTCCTGAGACAACAGGTGAAGTCAAGTGTTCTTTCTATACAAGACACTGCATAATAGTCAACCTAGAATGTCTCAGTGTTGGGAGCTTAGGGGCATTTTAGGAAATATAAATTAAGGACCATTCCCCTACTCCTGTCAGATAATTTTGTTTAATTCTCTGCTCAAACCACAACAACTACAGAATGAAATAATGCCATATAAGTGCAAAATAGTAGTATTATTTATTACAGTAGAACCTCAGAATTATGAACATCAGAGTTACGAACTGACCAGTCGACCACACACCTCATTTGGAACCAGAAGTACACAATCAGGCAGCAGCAGAGACAAAACGGAAAAAAAAGCAAATACTGTACTGTGTTAAATGTAAACTCTTAAAAAAATAAAGCATTTTTCTTCTGCATAAGTCAGTGTTCACTTGTAAACTTTTGAAAGAACACCCATAACATTTTGTTCAGAGTTACAAACATTTCAGAATTACAAACAACCTCCATTCCTGAGGTGTTCGTAACTCTGAGGTTCTATTGTAATTCGAAATAATTCAAGCAGGAACATCATAAATAAAATGCAATAATTTTGAAAACATGAAAGAATTTATCAAGGATTCCAAATCCTTCTTGCTGAGCAAATGTCTTAGCCCTAGTGACATTCCATAAGTCATTAAAAAGATGTTGGAGCCTTAGCAGTGGACTGAAGATCTCTCTCCACTATTGAAAATAACGACAATGTAACGCCCAAGTCTTGAAGATGGGATCAAAAGAATACCATTTAAAGAAATTGTAAGTCGGGGTGGAGGTATCTGTCAACAAACATTTACACCTACTAATCAGAACTTTTCTTTTCTTCATATTTGGGTTCAAATAATTATGTGAAGGTTTCTTTTTAAGATTAAGCTAGACCTTATATATGTTTCATACCTGAATTCTAAACTACACTACAAATGTACTTATCAGTAATATATAGCTTTTCATTATGCTTCAGTTATATATTCTTTGGACATCACTTTTTGTATGTCTGCATTTAAGAGATTTAGACAAGAGGCAATATTTCCATATCTATTGAACTGGACTTTCTGAAAAAGCCTGTACCCGATTAGAAGCATGTTACTGAGGACTCTGTCTATACTAACAGATTTATTTGGGCATAAGCTTTTGTGGGTAAAAATCCCCACTTCTTCAGATGCATGGAATGAAAGTTACAGATACAGGCATAAATATACTGGCACATGAAGAGAAGGGAGTTACCTTACAAGTGGAGGGCCAGTGCTGACAAGGCCAATTCAGTCAGGGTGGATGTAGTCCACTCTCAATAATTGATGATGAGGTGTCAATACCAAGAGAAGGAAAACTGCTTTTGTAGTGAGCCAGAAACTCCCAGTCCCTAATCAATCCCAAATTGATGGTGTTAAGTTTGCAAATGAACTGTAGCTCTGCAGTTTCTCTTTGAAGTCTGCTTTTGAATTTTTTTTGTTGAAGAATGGCTACTTTTAAAGCTGTTATTGAGTGTCCAGGGAGACTGAAGTGTTCTGCTGACTTTTGTATGTTACCATTCCTGATGTCTGATTTGTGTCCATTTATTCTTTTACGTAGAGACTGTCCAGTTTGGCCAATGTACATGGCAGATGGGCATTGCTGGCACATGATGGTATATATCACATTAGTAGATGTGCAGGTGAACGAGGCCCTGATGGTTTGGGTCCTCTGATGGTGTCACTAGAATAGATATGGGGACAGAGTAGGCTACGAGGTTTGTTACAGGGATTGGTTCCTGAGTTAGTGTTTCTGTGATGTGGTGTGTAGTTGCTGGTGAGTATTTGCTTCAGGATGGGGGGCTGTCTGACCTCTGATTGAATTGGCCTTGTCAACACTGGTTCTCCACTTGTAAGGTAACTCCCTTCTCTTCATGTGCCAGTATATTTATGCCTGTACCTGTAATTTTCACTCCATGCATCTGAAGAAGTGGGGATTTTTACCCACGAAAGCTTATGCCCAAATAAATCTGTTAAGGTGTAACTGGACTCCTCATTGTTTTTGTGGATACAGACTAACATGGCTACCTCTCTGCTATCTGTCTATACTATTGCTGAACCTATGCTAGCAATGACAGGATTTGTCCCAGAGTGGTACATGATAACCAAGCCATGCTACACACTATTCTGGGTAGCCTGCCATATGATTTTATAAAATCTCAAAGTGCGTCAGAATGGGGTGGAATACTATTCCAGCACTCCTCTGGCAGCCCCAGAGGCTTCTGCGTAATTTACCATTTCTTGTGTTTAAAAATTAAGGCCAACTTTTTTTAAAGTGTCTACTGATTATGGGTGTCTTAGTTGCCGAGTACTGAAAATCCTTTGGCCTAATTTTCAGAGGTACTGAGCACCCACAACTCCAACTAATGTAGCTGATGTGCACACCCAGCACCTCTGAAAATCAAGTTCTTTCAAACTGAGCAGCCAAGAGCAAGGACTGAAATGAAAGTTACAGCTGAGCTAACAATCAAAATTTTCATTCTTCAGGAAATTCTGATATTTTGAAATTTTGTTTCCATTCCAAACAGGGATTAAAAAGTCAGTATATTGACATTTTTCACAAGACAAAAGTTCCAAATCAACTTTTTAAAATGTTGAAACATAATGACATTCCTGAAGCAAAGTTTTTTGTTGAGGTTTGTTGAACCAAATCAAAAATGTTTCTTTTCAACTCAGTTCAACATTAATGAGAGCAGGTTAATAATTTTCCATTGAAGTGAATTTTAAAGTCTCTATGTGTGTATTCTTTAGGGCATATGTCTCTCTTAGAGGATGACCCTTCCGTGACTTTCCCACATACCCTCTTTGAAATTAAAGCAGTTACTTCTGGGCCGCTATAAAGTACTGTAAGCAGGAAGCCTATACCTGTGTATTAAACTTGAATAAATATGTTCCTGTTTTACCTAATCCTGGATCTGCAAAGTGTCTGTTTTTCTGCGAACACAAAGAGACACCTTTGAGGGGGAAAATGGCCTAAGCTTCTAGCCTTTTTGATTGCAAAGAGAACATTTCATATGTGAACCTAATGTAGTGTTGGCTTTCTGAATCTGCTGTCAGACAGGCTGAAACAAGAGCTCTAGAGAGAGCTGCCCCCATTCACTTCCATAGGCTGTTAGCTCTGAAGACTAAGGGCATGGCTACACTGGAAACTGCAAAGCGCTGTCACGGGAGCACTCCCGCACCAGCGCTTTGAAGTGTGAGTGGGATCGCAGCGCTCCTGGTACTCCACCTCCACGAGGGGATTAGCTCCGAGTGCTGGGAGCACAGCTCCCAGTGCTGGGAGCCTGTTTACACTAGCACTTTAAAGCGATCTGACTTGCTGCGCTCATGGGGGTGATTTTTCACACCCCTGAGCCAGCAAGTTAGAGTGCTATAAAATGTAAGTGTAGCCAAGCCCTAATAACTGAACATCCCCAGGGGCACCACTTTGGGGGTTGGGGGGCTTCTCCCCCTGCCCCCTGAGTTTCATACTAGAAGTTTGCTCGCGGCACACATCCTAGCCCCAGATGAAGCTCTTAACTGCAGCATAGCCTGAGTGTGGAATGTGAGTTCTTCAGAGGAGAGGCACTGCTCCCAGCTTATGCCCCTAGGACAGGGAGTCAATATTTTGTTTATAAACAGAGGCAGGGTGATTTAGATAAAGAAGGGCTGGTAATTAAAATGGATGAGCCTGAAAAACAGGAATCCGTCTGTGGGGGCTGGGGAGATTGAAGACAGAATGTAGGGGACTCAGAACAAATACAGCCAAGGTTACATTCAGAAAAGAACAGGAGTACTTGTGGCACCTTAGAGACTAACAAATTTATTAGAGCATAAGCTTTCGTGGGCTACAGCCCACTTCATCGGATGCATAGAATGGAACATATAGTAAGAAGATATATATATACATACAGAGAAGGTGGAAGTTGCCATACAAACTGTGAGAGGCTAATTAATAAAGATGAGCTATTATCAGCAGGAGAGGGGGAAAAAAAAGTTTTGTAGTGATAATCAAAATGGTCCATTTAGACAGTTGACAAGAAGGTGTGAGGATACTTAACATACTCTGCCAGTTGCCATCCAGTGGTTCTTCAGTCACACATGCAATCAGCACACTTTGGACAAATATCTGAGCTGTATATATGTGCGATGACACTTGACAACAGGCTTCTGTAGACTGGTGTGAGACAACTGAATGCACATATACTCGGGGGGAGGGGGAAGAGGTCTATTGGATTGGAAGAACCATTATACAAAGAACAGATACTGGTAACTGCTCAGACAAAAAAATACACTCTGAAGTAGGTCCAGAATTTTCTCATCTGAATCAAATACAGAACCCAACTTATGCAACATGGCTTCCTCTTACTAAAATGGACTTTCACCAAACAGAATGTAGAAGCAACACAAGTCTTTCCAGCTAGGCTTCACGTGAGTTATGATAGACTCCTGCACTTGTATATTTTAAAAAGGGACAACACAAAATTTTTCACCAGTACGCAGTACCATGTGACTGCAGAGGGAAAGGCTGGAGGACTGGGGAATCCAGGCCTTCTTTTTTCTTTTTTAAAGAAAAATATTTTCACAACCATAACCAAAACTGCATACTTATATTTACAGGTTTCAGAGGAACAGCCGTGTTAGTCTGTATTTGCAAAAAGAAAAGGAGTACTTGTGGCACCTTAGCGACTAACCAATTTATTTGAGCATGAGCTTTCGTGAGCTACAGCTCACTTCATCAGAAGTGATGAAGTGAGCTGTAGCTCACGAAAGCTCATGCTCAAATAAATTGGTTAGTCTCTAAGGTGCCACAAGTACTCCTTTTCTTTTTACTTATATTTAGTGCACTTAACAGGAAACATTTACATTTTCTTCCTTTAAAAATATACCGAGCATACTGGTACAGTGTTCAACTTGAGACATTTGAAATAGGTTGGGAGAAGTGAAGACCTTGGGCCCAATTCTATCCCTCTTAAGATGAGTACTACCTTGATTTCAATTAGGCTAATTGCAGAGTGAGCATCTACTCAACATGAGCAAGGATGGCAGAACTGTACCCTTTATAAACTGCAGCCTTTATGAGGAGATATAGGAAGTATACACCTGGGGCTTTTTAAATTTTTATACACACACACTTAACGCAGTCAAGTACATACAATAAGCAAAACATCTGATCTTCGGAAGTTTATTTATAAGTCATCCCTGGCAGGGATGGCTCAACTGTATCCAGAGAGGGGTTATACTCCAGAGACAGTAAAGTTATTCTAACCCAACCTTCAACTTGGTGGCAGTTTTATAACAAGAGGACTGTCAAGAACCCCGAGATACCCCTTCACCACCTCAATTAAACATACTATTCTGAGATATTAACCGTGAAAGTTTATAGAAAATTGAAACTAAGGTGACTTTAAAGGCAATACTGAGTCTAAGGAGGAAAAGATCTGAGTTGTGTATAGCTGGACCTAGAGGGGAAAAAAAAAAGTTATTTTCACAGATCACCACATATATCCCTATGGCATCAAGCCAGAATATTAACAGATTTATTATTCGATGTAAACAAACAGTTAAGTTCCACCCTGTAATAAGAAAAGATATGAAGAATTCTGAAAAAGGATCTCTACACAGTGGATCTTTTAAAATCAAGTAATTTTTTTTTCACATGACAACTTCACTGTAGGCCAAATCCTGAGGTTCTGCTTACTCAGCTTGGTAGGATTTGACCCTAAAAATACCCATTGACTTGTCTGTTGCACCGCTGCTATTACCAGGAAACTTTCCTGCTTCAGGACTGAGTAAGAAACCTCAGGATTTGATCCTACATACAGAATATCACAACTTACGTACAGAAATTCAGTGATAATAGTCAAGGTTTCAGTCCTTCACTATAAACAGTTTCACTTTAATCTGGTTCCACCGTATGAATACTTTTTGTAAGTACACTGCACAAAGTAAATGTCAAATAGACCCAAGGTCTGTTGCACTGTCTACCCCCCACACCCAGGCAGAGGATATAACCAGACAATGCCTGGGAAAATACAGCTGCAATGGGCTTCAGACAAATAAAACTTAATGTCACCTACTATGAAAGAACTTGTGGCAATTAGTTTGCAAGATGTAGCTATACCGGTTGATTTTAAGGGTCTGTTTTTATTAACTTACTACAAAAATTAAAAAGAAAAATAAAATATTTTCCAAATTAAATGGACCCTTTTGGATGGCATCTTATGCAGGCCTGTGATATGTAACATGTACACATTGTGGATACTTCTCTATTAGTTGATCACAAAGCAATCCATCTAGACACTTACATCAGTATTTCGACCTTTCTCTGTATTTATATCTGTATCTTACTCACCTGTCTTTCAGCACTTAGCTAGACATCTGTACCATCTGCCACGCACGGTTAAAACTTTCTTGCCTTGAATTCCCCTAACCAGAAGAACTGCATCGTTATGCTGGTGACAGAACCCAGATTTGGCTGGTGGTTTATTTTATTTCCACCTGACTGTTTGAGGTTATGTACCTGCCTGTGTGTCCCCGCACAGAAAATAAAATGGGTGGGAAATCAGCGGCGGGTGCCAGCGGCTCCGTCAGCCCCCCACAGCTCATCTGCGTGAATTCTCACGGTGCCTATTTCCGGCCTCCCCGTCACCACAGTGCCTCGCAAACCTGAGCTCTCCGCAGCGCCGGGGGCCAGGCTGGCCTCGGAGGGCGGCAGCGGCAGCAGGGTTTGCTCCCGCCCGGCTGTGCCGGGGGTGGCCAAGGCGGAGACGTCCCGCGGGCGCGCAGTACCTCGTTATGGTGCAGGTGGTGCTGTCCCGGCGGCGCTGCCCCCGGCTCCCCCGCGGCTCCCAGCGTCTGCAGCAGGTGGCTGAGCTGGGCGGCCGAGAGGCTGCGGTTCTCCCCGAACAGGCTCAGCACGTCCTCCACGAAGCCCCCACGGGGCCGCCCTGCTGCGGGGCCCGCGCACCGGCGGCCAGCGGGCTGAAGGCCGCGGCAGCGGCCAGCGCCAGGGCCGCCACCGCCCCCCGGGGCATCTCGGCCCCGCCTGGCGCTCCGGCTGCGAGCGCGGAGAGCTGCTCGCCGACACCCTCGCGGCGGCCCCCTCCGCCGCGACTCGGCCCCCGGCGGGAGGCGGGCAAGGGCCGGCTGCGGCCGCGGGGTGGAAGACGAGATGCTGCAGCCCCGCAGCTCCTCAGCGCGCCTGACAAGAGAGCACGAGAGACGGGGAGATGAGGCAGCGCGGAGCGAGAGCGCAGCCCGGGGCAGCCTGCGCGGAGCATCCCCTCCCCCCCCCCACCCCCGGCCACTGCCCCAGCGGGCACCCACCCCCACCCCCACCCCCGGACTGTGTCTCTCGCCCAAAGGAGCCAGACCCCGGCGAGGCGCCGCTGCAAACCCCGCAGGAGCGCGCGGCGTCCTGGAAGCCGCTTCCCCCCAAAACGCTCTGAGGAGGAATTTTTTTGGCCGCCTTCAAAAACTCGCTCCCCACGCACAGCCCCCCACCACCACTCCCCTCCGCCTTGCATTCCCTCTGTCACACACACTGTGTGCCCCCCCGCCCCCCAGTCACTCATCCCGCCTCCCACACCGCCCTCACCGGCTCTCTCTGCCTCCTTTACAGCCCTGCCTCTGCCCAGATAAAGGCTCCAGGAGGGGCACGTGTTGCAATTCCACCGCCCCGCACGGGTTCCTCCTCTGGCCCTGGCACTGGCTCAGGGGTGAAAGACCCGTGGTGCAGCCCAACAGCTTTGGCCTCTTGTCTCCCCCAGCCAGAGAGCCGCCTACGTGAGCTGGGTTAGAGAATAACTCCTGTTCTTTCCATAGCCGCCCCACAGACTACCTAGCATCCTGTGGCTGTCTGCTCAGGTATCCCGGCAGAATTCCTCTGGGCGCTGTCCACTGGCTCCCTTGACACCTTCGAGCAGCAGTGGGCGCTGTCCGGGCTTCTCTGCTCCGTGTCCCCGTCTGGTTCCCTTCGTCTGACCCTTTGACTGCACTCCTGTCCCTGTTATTTCATTCGTTGTCTCCTGTACTCATTTGCTTCCAGGTCCTGTGGATTCCTCCTCTTAGGCTGGACGGGGATCCTTTAGCAGTGTGGATCCCAATAGGATCACTCTCTTGTAGCCATCTGGCCTGACCCTGTCACAATGGATATTGACACATGTTGAATATGGGGGCCACAGCTATTAAAAATAGTTTTAAAAGGAATTAAGGTAGGGTAAGTGTGAGATGCTCTCAAGGAAATGGCAAGTTACGGGACACCTCTTAACTGTATTCTAATGCCCCTATAATTCTTTTCCACTAACAATAACAACTCAACATGTTCTCTGCCTCTGGCATGCAAGAAAATACACTCCATACAAATATTAATCTCCCTCCGAGTGTAACGCAAAGCCTGAATTGTGACCCCCCTACTTCCATAGCTCATAATTAACACACCACGCACTTAACTAGTGCATGTCAACATTGAATATCTGCTAATCTTGCTGTGGTTGTAATGCTTTTGTCACCTGTGGCAGATTTGAAGGTTGAGAGGCTTTAGTGAAAAGGTAGCAGTCTTCAATCAAAGGGAACAATGGAAAATGTCACCACCTTTGCTGGAGGCAGCCTCTTGGTCACATGCAAGACTTTAGGGACATGGAAGCCATCCTGCCTGAGTTTGCTTCAGTTTGGAAACAGTAGGAAACGGCCACCATCCTTACTAGATGCAACCAATCCTATTTCACCACCTGCTCAATTTAAGGGTATGTCTACACTGTAGCTGGAGGTGCAGGTTCCTGCTCAGGCATGGGCATGTCTACCTGAGCTAGAAATTACATCTCCGTCTCCAGTGTAGCTCAAGTATCCTCAAGTAGCATTTCCAATATGCACGTATTAAACTCTCCAGTGTGTGGTGTACTGTTTATTTCTTTGTCTAGAGACTGTTTCATCCAAAGAACAAGAACACCTATTGTAGTGAACAATCTGCTCTGCCTAGAGAATAGAGAAGCACAATTCCTGTTAGGTTGTCTAGGATAAGTTTTCATTCTATGAGTCATGGTCTGTCTTCACCCTTCAGTACAGAAATGACCTTTTATAATAAAGTTGTTTTGTTGACTTTAAATCTATGCAAGAAGGGTTCGCTCTGTTTCTGCTTCATAAGACAATGTGTTTTCTCCACGAGCGTGAGAGGAGATCAAAAACAGAAGGGATCTCAAAGTCTCCTTTAGGAGAACAGCAGTCTAAGGTTTGGGGTACTAGGTCTATATTAAAACCACTGGAGGGAACTTCTATAAAGTGTGAAAAGATCCTTCACCTTTCCATCATCCTCATTCCCACTTCTATTGGCTTGGCTTTAGAAAGTCATTGATTACAAGGCCTAATGCAGGCTCATACGTGTTAATGCAAACTTATGGAGCCATACCTGTTATTTACTTTAGTGAGCCAACAAATCCTTTTCTACTTTCTTTCCTTCACTACTTGAGGTGAAAGGTAGTGTATAGCCCTATGTGGGATGACACCGACCTTTCATTTTTAACATAACTGAAGTCAGAGGAAGTAAAAGCAATAGTACTGACTTTGTCACTTGATGACCCCGATTAACTTTGAATTGTGATCATCACAATTCAAAGATAAAAAAGGCTGACAGGATTCTTTTAACCATAAAATGTAAGCTATGAGACTGTTCAGCTGGGCCAATTTAAAAGGTGAACTTAATAGATTGCAATTTGAGTTCCATATTATTTAATACGTCAAAGGGCTAAGAGAATGTCATGGTTGACAATGAAATGTGTACTCTGTCTGTACTGAAGTATAATGAATATCTTTATTGTAAAGAGAGAAAGTGATTCATAACAAAATTTCAAAGAACTATATAATGCACTAAATTGGCCTTTCACGAAGCCTCCGGTTCTAAAGCAAATAACTGAAGAAAATAGGACTTTCAGCTGAGATAGTGTGCAAATAGTATATATCTATTAATTCCTTTAAATTTGTTCTAATACCTAATGTTAGCAGCACGGCTGAGAGATAGAAAACAGTTATGAGAAGTTTAGATTTTGATTTGTCAGACATTGCATTAGGTTCAATACAAATCACATGCAACTTGAATACAAATGCCAATCAGTGCTTATCAGTGTTTGAGAATGAAATTCGTACAGCATGAGAAGCTAATGATGTTATTTCATACAAAATGAACACTGGCTGAATCATAGAATCATAGAATATAAGGGTTGGAAGGGACCCCAGAAGGTCATCTAGTCCAACCCCCTGCTCGAAGCAGGACCAATTCCCAGTTAAATCATCCCATGAACTGTACTAGTTAACAGGAAAAGAAAAATCATCACATAGTAGTGTCAAAAATTTTAATGTTAGAACCTGGAAAACTATTAGTCTTTCAACTGTGAAGGTCACACTGAAAAAACTAGTCTAATTCATTTTGTTTCAATAACAAAGAGCATTATACCCTGGGGAATGTATCTATTGGCCCAATTCAGACCTGGTGTAAGAGGATGCAACTCCATTGACATGTGTAGATTTCCTCCCACTTCCTCCAGCTCTAATTATGAGCCACTAATTTATACAATTGCTGTTATTTATTTGTAAAATGCTGACAGTTCTGCAGGTTCTATACAAGATATTTTAAAAAAAAAAACAGCAACCATGTGGCTGAACCTTAGCCTGGGTTGGGAAATAACTGATTTATTGGCTAGGTTTGTATTGGCTAGCTTTGTTAGGACGGGAGAAATGGAGCTAGTTCTCCCATCCGAGACCATAAAACTCCCTCCCCTTAGCTCCTCAGAGGTGTGTCTCTTTCTCGCACGACAGACCGTGTCATTTTCTAGTTCGGGTTGAAGTTGGAGATAAAAGAGGAAACACCACAGCTGATAAAGCCAATGGAATGTGGAGGGATGACTGTGCAGGGCATAAAGAAAAGGAGTACTTGTGGCACCTTAGAGACTAACCAATTTATTTGAGCGTGAGCTGTAGCTCACGAAAGCTCATGCTCAAATAAATTGGTTAGTCTCTAAGGTGCCACAAGTACTCCTTTTCTTTTTGCGAATACAGACTAACACGGCTGTTACTCTGAAACCTGTGCAGGGCATGAATTCTGTGCGAGTGCTCTGTACACAGGGTGCCAGCTGCATTGCATTAGCCCTAAGGAAAAATCCTTCCCTTCTGATATGTTGTTACTAATATCTATCAGCGCTTTGCAGCTGTTTTTTAATTCCAGGGAATTCCTTGCCTTTCAATTATTCTTGCTTTAAGCTGTAATTTATTTATTAATGGAGCTGTGAAGTTTATGACAAAAACCAGTATTATTGTAAGCGTGCTATCCCCACAATATAGCAAAGGGCTAGATTGCATCACGACCACTCAACCCATAATAAAAGGGGTCTGATTGTTATGCCACCACAGGAGCACCCCAAGGAAAAGTATGACTCAAGAGAACCCATAGGGAACCCAGGGAATCACATCTCCTTCTTTGATTCCCCCCCTTACTCCAGAGTAGTGGTTCTCAAACAGGGGTTCATGTACTCCTGGGGGTCACAGAGGTCTCCCAGGGGGTATATCAACTCATCTACATATTTGGCTAGTTTTACCACAGGCTACATAAAAAGCACTAGAAAAGTCAGTACAAACTAAAATGTCATACAGACGCTGACTTGTTTATACTGCTCTATATATACACTGAAATGTAAATACAATATTATTTTCCAGTTGATTTATTTTATAATTATATGATAAAAATGAGAAGGTAAGCATTTTTTCAGAAACAGTGTGCTGTGACACTTTTGTGTTTTTAGGTATCATTTTATAAGCAAGTAGTTTTTAAGTGAGGTGAAATTTGGGAGTATGCAAGACAAATCAGACTCTGAAAGGGGTGCAGTAGTCTGGAAAGGTTGAAAGCCACTGCTTCAGAGGATAATAATTTGCTACTTGGCTCTGCTAAGAGAAATTACTACACCTCCTTTTCCTCCTCCCCACTCCATACTGACTCAGCTCTGCTGCCTGGCATGTTGTGGGTTCTGAGCTAAGACTCCATTCCCTGTTCCACCCTCTGTCCACTCCCCACATACCTGTCTTGAGGTCTGAAGAGGCGGGAGGAGGGAAGGAAGCCATTTCCCAGCAGATTTTTCTTAAGTAGCACAGAACTGTAAAGGGTTTGTTTGCTTATGGAGTTACAGGAGAATAACTCCATGTGTGGACACTCTTATTTTGGAATAAAAGTGTCTTGTTCCTATTTAGCTTAACCCATGTGGCATCCCCCTTGTTCAAGCAGGAGAGAGTCATTCAATGTTAATAGCATTTGAGTCTGCTGACACAGCTTTCCAGATATAGTGTCTCCACTACAAAGTACAAGTCAAGTTCCTGCCACAGAATGGGTGATGGGTGATGCAACCACAACGATGGTTGTGGTTACAAATAGTGCTCACAAAACAAAATGGAATCCATAATTGGACACACATATATTCCCCCAAACTGTCACATTCATTATTTAGATCAGAAGTGTTTTTAAAAAATAAAAAACTCGTAAGGATATAAACTCTCATGCTTCAGGACAACCACCAACCCCTGTGTGCCTCGGGTTAGGAAGAAATTTCTCCTATAAGTAAGTTATTCTATCATTGTGCAGTATGAGATTTCTTGCACATTCCTGTTCATCATTTGGTATTGAGCCCAATCAGAGGCAGGATATGGGTCTAGATGGTTCACTGGTCTGATTTGGTATGACTATTCCTATGTGGCAATAAAACCTGTGTATCATCAATATGTAGGTATTAAAGGGGAACATCACCACCAACAGGTGTAAATCATCACAGCTCCCTGGAGCTATGTCGCTTTAGCTGAACTGATGATCTGGCCCTGGCTACATGTTTGC